ATCTTTCGATCCTTGCATATATTGGAAAAGTCCTTACTTGTTGTACATCCTTCACACAGTCTTTACTCTAAGCTTCATCTTGGAACTCCTTTTCTTCTTGCACATGTTATCTCATTATAGTACCTCGTTGAATCCTACAGGTACTCTTGCACAATCTCCGTATGTCCTCGTGCAATATCTGTTCTCTAGATTTTCTCTATTCCTTGCTTATGTTTGACAGTAACTCATCTTGTCACAACACCTATCTAAGTCAAAATAGGGTACCAATCTTTAACCCCTTCCTGTATCTCTCTTTCATTATCAGGGTCTTCATCAATTCCCCCCTTGAAAAATTACAGTTACTAAATCTAACTTGTTTGAAGAAATCACCACTCCATCAAATCCTTGATTATATGGAACCTAACTATTCCTTTGTGCCGTCAACCTACTAGTCTTCAATAGTTTCAAACTATTACATATATGAAAATAGCACCATATAGATAATTCTTCAACTAAGCAAGTTCATAGGAAAGATTTGAGGGGTCACACCGGTCCCGTTTAAAACTCAATTTCCTAACTAGAACTTCTTAGGCCATATCTATCCATCGTACTATCTTTTTATATATCAACCATTTACTAGCTTTATTGCAACTTTTCTTTACAAGTGATCTGGAATATTTTGGTTTCATACTTGATTTCTCAACATTTAGCGAGACTAACAGTGCTTAGATTCATTAAGATTGGTCTTTATCAATTTTCACTCTCCACCTCAAATCATCCACATTATCGGGTGTTCAGAGTGTCTCAATTTTGCCTTCCCTCAGGGCAATTAAAATCCCCCCACTTGGTAGTTTAACACATGTAATTGGGGAAACATGTGTGATTTCTTCTTTTTCATTTCCATCGACCACTATAATGACCTTCAAATGCCTCCTGATCGGACAATCTCTCTTAATAATTCACCACCACTACTTTTAGTTCAATTCTCAATGATCAGACCATACCATTGCATTCAGAATGATCAAATTAGCTGGAAACAAGTCTAAAATCATCCAAATCGCATTTCAGACGGTTAAGATTTGATCAAAAAAATTCTAGCCTCATAAACGGCCCAGATTCAATCTCAGATCTAGTTGCATGTAGGATTAGCTACACTAGATCCTTTCCCTCGGCTCAACTCAATTTGTCTCGTGGGTAATGATATGGCAGGGGTTCCTACTATACTAACGCGTCAGATAATTGGACGCTGACATAGCATGCCAACTACGCATGCTGATGCCATCTTACATCATAATCATGTCATCTTAATCCGGGTCAGGTAAGGGGGCCGGGTTATCTAGTATTCGGGTCGAGTCAGCCCATCCGGGTGAAAAAGACATATGCAACTCATGTCGTGGGTCTGTACGTGTGTCCAGCCACCTTGTCGGCGCATACGGCAAAATTCTGATGTCCAATTTCGACGTGGTTTTCACCAATGTGCTAGTCTCTTCCTCTTTTACAAAGTGGTATGGTCAAAACATGGAGAAGAAGGATCACTTCACTCAAACTCTACTTCCAGCTCACCTATATTGCTGCAATGACAGTAGGGTTGCTGCCCTTGGTAGTCCCTTTTTTCTCTCTTATTCTCTTACATATACTCACCACTCTCTCTCATTTTATGCTGCTCTCTTGGTGCCTATTTATAGGCAAAATAATGCCACCAGCTCCAGCTCATCTTCAATAATGGTGGCTATCAAACTTTAACATTTGGGAAGGTTGTATATAGTTGGTGCATCTTCTTTTGACATTTGCAGCTGCCACCAACAGCCCATCATTATAGTATTTGACAATGAGCAACCCTACTTCTTAGGGTTGGGCTATAGATGCTACCATATAAGTAACAATATCCCAATAGGAATATGGAGAATTTCAGAGGGGACATTTTGTGATAACTGGTAAGGTTTTCTTGCTCTTATTTTGGGCAATAGAGTTATCTTTCCTTGTACATGGAGGAGCTCCTTGCGTAAGTCAATGACCAAAGTCAAATGAGAACTTTCAAATCCATGGAATATTGAAATGTGAAAAGAAGAAAAAAATTTGAAGCATTTAGTAGATGGTGAGAGAAGTAAATGAGGGACAAAGACATCTTATGTAATAAGAAAGGTAATAATTACATTAGTAATTTAGAATATAAGATGGAAAAAAGGCGTAATATATATTCTGATTTTTGAAATGCAGACATTTGACCTGTACGGGTGATCAACAATTAATATGCATAAACTTATTTAAAATTATATTTGTCATAACCCAATTTTTGAACAAATAATAAAAATTAAATATAGTTGACAATGGGGTTAAGACAACAAATTTTGAAGTTTAGGGATGTAATCTGAGAGTTAATTGATCAATTTTGAAAGAATTAAAAGTTAAAGATTTAGTTAAGGGTCAAATTGGACAATCCACAAATTAAGGACTGTTTTGTAAATAGTGTTATAATTTAGAGATTTAATTGAAATTAATCAAAAAGGGCAAAATTAAAAGAATTAATTAAGGACCAAATTGAATAATCCAGGAATTAAGGACTGTTTTGTAAACAGTGTACCAATTTAGGGATTTAATTGAAATTAATCAAAAGGGGGCAAAATTAAAAGAAATTTTTAATTGTTTAGGGGTTCAATTGTCAAATTTCCAAAGTTCAGGGGTCAAATTGAAAACTCCCATTTTACAGCCAAAGCAGCACCATTGCTAAGGAACAGCCGTGCGTCTTCTCCATCCTGATTCAACAGGGGAGCTTCCGATTCAACAGGGGAGCTGATAATCTGCAACAAATCTGATCTTGGACCACGTCTCTTACCGATAATCTCGTTCGTGGATTCCACAACACAGTCCTGCAAAGACAGGACTGGTTACAGGGCTAGCTTCTCTATAAAAGACAGAAATCAACCTTAAAAAATGGAGAAAAAGAGGAGAAAATCAACCCAAAAACATAGATGAAAACAAACAAAAACACTGGGAAACAAAGGGGAAAACCAAGAAAAATAGGGGAAAAACCAGCTAGAAAAGAACCGAACAAACCGAAGGGGGGACTAGAAATAGAGAGGAAGGAAAAAAAAGGGGGAGAGGCCAGTAACCAGAAACCGAAGAAAAGCAGGGGAAACAAGGAAAAAACAGAGAGACGCAAAGAAAAAATAACACGCCGAAAGCAGAGGAGAAAAGGGGTAGCATACGCTAGACAAGGATTGAATGTCCTTGCCTTTGTTTTATCCCTACAAAAAAAAAAAAAACACAAAGAAACACAAACAACAATCGGTATCCATAGTAAACTGAAATTTTCATTGTTAATTCCTTCGTCGTCTCAAAAATCTGCTAGAAGACGAAAGCAGATTGCGGGTATAGGAATGGAAAAAGCAGAAGAAAAGGTATAAAGCAGGCGAAAGTCACCACCAGCGTTCCAGCCAGAGCTTCTCCATTGTCCCCATCGTTAGGTATGCGACGTCTTCCTCTTGCATTGTTTCAGCAATTGGCATTTACACTGTGCAAGTGAATTTTAATTCACTTGCACAGTGTAGCAACACGCACGCGTGTTGCTCAGCCTAGCCAGGCTACTGGCTTGGGCCAGTGGCCGGGTCGGGCCGGGCTGGCTAGGCTCAGCCCAGCCCCAAAGAAATTATGCTAGCCCAGCCAAAAAAAAAATAAAAATATGAGTGTATAAATGAAAAAAAAAATAGATTTATTGATTTATTCACTGACGCTAGAGTCGGGAATAAAAATACTGATTTAAATTTATTTTATTTTATTTTAGCTACATAAAAATATATGCATGCGTAAAAATAAATTTATTTTATCTGTTTATTCACTGACGCTAGAGTCAAGAATAAAAAAAATATTGATTAAATTTTTTTTTTATAGTTACGTAATATTTACCAACGCCAAAGTTGAAAATATTCGTAGTTGAATATTCACTGGCGCCAAAGTCAGGAATATTACACGCAAACTATTATAGTATAAATCAACAAAATGTTAGCAACGTATGACAAAACTAGCAATGTACCCTACCTTAGGCAGGACGTTTAAGGGGTAATAATATCTTTCCTTTGCGTAACCAGTCCTATACCATAGAATCTCTGCTGACTAGTTAAGATTCCTAGTGACCATAATACTAAGTGGCAACTCCTTAAACAAGACCATTCCCCATTAAAAAACAGGATGTCATAAATCTATTCTTTTCTAAATATTAAATTTTTAAGACCGTCGTGATTTTAGGTATGACAATATTGATTTAAATAGATATAAAGATCCGCACCTATACACAATAGGCTTATGAGTTATTGCATCGATATATTCTAAGAATAAAAACACAAAAAGCATACATTATTTTTGTCACATGGAATAATTAATCATAACCAGCATATATATTTTAGCTTAACAATCTTTATGGTCATAAGATTTAATTTAACTTTTAATAGAAGGGTAAATTTTAAAAATGCATTTAACTAAGGTTATAGAAGCTTAATTGATTTACAGAGGAATGATTGAGAAAATAAAAATATATATAAAGATGAATTACTAAGTTTCCATAATTTTTATTCTAATATTTCTTAGATCACATTTTACTTATTTTGAAAAACATACGTTATTTTTAATTTTAACTGATTTTCAATCTTTTTACATTTATTATTTTTCAGATATTTATGGCGTTATCAGGCCTTAAGCTCATGGAAATATGATCAACGGGCTGGATCCCTTCCAGAGATAAGATGGCAAAAATGATGTTTCCTCTTTGTTTGGGTTCTTGACTTCAAGGAGCAATATTAATGATGGTTATTGATGCCAGGACAAAGAAGTCACTGATGCTGTATTTGGTTTCTTTGGGCGTAAACTTAGTCACAAACAAAGGGCAAGGAGGCCTCAGAGGCCCATAAATTGGAGCAGCCATAAATAGAAACTTTTGGTTCAATCATTAATATATACAAAAATGATTTTTTGAAGATTTCAGGTTCCATTGTAGCATGAAATATGACTTGCATGTAAGATAATAGTTAAGAAAAACAAATCAAGAAGATATGTTTGTATCTGTCTGGAAATGTCTGTGTTTGTAAAGAAAAACAGTCGAAGGAGCTACAACTTCATTCTCTTAAATTTAAAACTTAATTTACAGTCACCGTGGTGATAAAACGGAAATGGTTAATTCATTGCCAGAACATACTTTCTGATTTGAGGACTGACCTTCCATGGCAACAAATCGGCCGATAGAAAATGCAGGTTGCTTAGGGATAGGGAGTGCTATGGTATCACTTGCCAACATATGAAGCACAGATGACATTGTGGGTCTGTCTGCTGGATCCTCTTGCACGCAGAGCAGCCCAATGTGGATGCATCTCAGCACCTCAGTTGCCGCGCCTGATTTCTCTAGCATTGGGTCCATCAATTCCAGTCCTTGACCATCAGACCACAGTTTCCATGCCTGAAAAGTTGAGACACTTCCTGAATTGAGATAACAAAAATCATTGCTAGTAATCCTTTTTTGGATAGAAAGATAGGATTTGTAACCTACAAAAGTGAGAAGGCTTTCGCCTTCTTCTGAAAGATGAAAGCCAACGTTTTTTTTCCCACTGATTATCTCTAACAGCAACACTCCAAAACTGAAAACATCTGATTTTACAGAAAAAAGTCCCGCCATAGCATACTCTGGGGCCATGTATCCACTGTTTTGTATTGACACAAGAGGAAACAAATTGCTTCATATTCATGAAGAGGTTAGCAAAATTCTTTTGCATCATATAAATCGGTCAAGAATGAACCTTTGCCACCTCGCTGTAAAAATAATATTTATCATATTTGATATAACATTATTCTTTAAATTGGTATTAAAACCGTGATGACGGAAAATTCATGAGTTCTAGTCTCATTATATAAAGTAGTTATAGATCTGGGTGAGTAAATTATTTTAAAAAAAAATTTAATAATTTAAATTTTTAAATTGAAATTATATTTTGAAAAGAAAGAATAAAGAAAGAATAAGAAAGTCCATTTGTTCCAAAAAAAAATATGCAATTGAAAACAATAACACTGTGGGAATGGAAATGTAGTAATACGTACTAAGTTCCGACAATTCTATTCGTGTTAGCCTCGCTTTGATTTCCATCGAAAATCCTAGCCATTCCAAAGTCTGATATCTTTGGATTCATCTCATAATCAAGCAAAATGTTGCTTGTTTTGAGATCCCTGTGAATAATTCTAAGACGAGAATCTTCATGAAGATACAAGAGCCCCCGTGCAATCCCTTCGATAATGCTCAAGCGTCTTTGCCAGTCAAGCAGGACTCCATTGCTTGAACCTGATCAGTAGCATCAAGATAAAAATCAAATCAGTTACAATTTCATGTCTTTGTTATACAGTACAAAAACTCAGGTGTTTCAGGTTTAGGGGTCAAACCAAAAAGAAAGACATCAAGGCTTTTGTTGGGCATATACTCATAGATAAGTAACTTTTCATTTTTTTCCAGGCAGCATCCCAAGAGCCTGACAAGATTTCTGTGTTGTAATCTGGCGATTAAAACGACTTCGTTCAGGAATTCTCTTTGTCCTTGACCAGAAGTTCTTGAGAGCCTCTTAACTGCAACTTCTTTGCCATCCTCTAACGTACCCTGAGCACAAACTATTCTAATAAGCATTAATATTTGTGGGCCAAAGTGTGACATTTTCGAATTTGTGTATTGAGAGATTGACAAATAACAGAATTCGATTTTTTCTTTTTTTTTCTTGATGAATAAAGTAATTGACTTGATAGCCTTGATTACCCTGTAAACTGGGCCAAAGCCTCCTTGACCAAGTTTGTTTTCATCAGAAAATTGCTTTGTAGCTTCATTTATAACATCTAGCCGGATCAAAGGGAGGTCCTGGGATGTCACCTCTCCTTGAATATCTTTGTCTGAATAGTCGTCCCCAACAGTTGCTCGTCCTGCCCAGTCCAGTAATTGATCCTCTTGGATATTTCCTATTTCCTCTGCAGGAGATATTGTGAAGTGCTAATAATTGATTATATAGGTTTCGAACATCATGTAAATGTGCATCAAAACTTTTGTTCTGTTTTTCACCTTTTTTCATATGATGACCTGACTAGAAAAAAAATTACGGAATTTTAGCCAATTACTCAATCTCTGCCTAATTAAGTCTTCTTTTCAAGTTTAACCACAACATAAATGCAGATTCAAAGGTGTTAGGAATTCTGGTTCAGAATTTTAATTTCTTGTCAAGATTATATCTCTAAAATATTTGGAAATCACCTGCACGTATATAGAAACTAACTAGGTAGTTCATATATATAATATAAATTTTTTAGTACCAAGACTTTCGGTACATATCACATGCATACCTGTTCTCAGATTCGTCCTTCTCCTCATGGTGCAAGTGCAAGCACTGAAAAATAGCACAGCAGTAATTGCGGATAGGCCTGCAACGACTTTAATCCACATCGATTTGCTTCCATCTCCTTCATAGTATTCAAGATAACAGAATCTCATATTAAAGAAATGTTAAAGAAGGATTTTGGAATGATAAAGAAGACAATAAAACCTTTTCCATCTGCTATTGAGCCTGGAGATGGAGGGAGGCGAACAACTGGCATGGATAGTGGTGGTGGTGACATGGCCACGACGGCAGGTACGTTGTAAAATGAATAAATTTCAAATCGAAAATTGCAGCTTGGAAACAAGACTCTTCCTCCTTGCTTATTATTAATATAAATTGGTAGGTAGGAGAGAGTTGCGTTAATACACCGAATACAATCATATTTAGATAGATCCGGTGTGCATTGCACAAGAACGTATAGAGATTCTTCCCACGTATAAGAAACGTTTTTGGCTGCGAATTTTTTTTCACCTGATGGCGCACTTGCAGCTTCTTTAGCAGCATCAGATACAGAATCCACCACTCGCTTGTTAAATTTTACATCAACAGTTATATTTTGTATATTCCACATGATAAACGCAGGCTTTTCGCTCAGGCTGGAGAAGATGTTACTGTTTGAGTAGCGCAGGAAGCACAGATCATACCATATGATAGCCTCCTTCTCGATTGGACAAAGTTGGACGACATCGTTTCTTGCACGTTTCACACATTCTAGGCAAACTTCGACACTAACATCGCCACGGCAAAGAAAGAGGCCATAGACCTGATCATAAACATCATGTCCTGTAGAGGCGTTATAGAATCCGTTAATTTCATTTCGGGTTGCATTGCCGGCGAGTGAAGAGAGAAGGATATTTAAATTGGCTTGATACGGGCTGTTTCTTTTGAAAGTGGTTGTGTTCGAGCATTTATGATAAAGGTAAGGGCTCTCCTGTGCTTCCGTGAGGGCTGCAAAGGAAAGCAGGAATATGGAGAATTTCAGAGCGAACATTTTTGATGATAACTGATAAGGTTTTCTTGCTCTTAATTATTTTGGGCAACAGAGTAATCCTTCCTTTTACATGGAGTCCTTGCCTCAAGTCAATGGCAAAAGTCAAGTGAGAAATTTCAGAGTCTGTTTCGTGTGCTTCTAATGTGAAACTCCAATTGTGGAATATTGAAATATGAAAAGAAGATCTTTTTTTTTTTTCGTTGCAGCAGCCATCCCTTTATGAATTACTTTTTTCTTTTTTCTGTTGTTGCCTCCTTTTTTTTCAAAAAAAAAAAAAAGAAAAAAAAACTGTCAAGTGAGAACTTTCCTAGTCTGTTTCGTCAAGTGAAAACTAGAATTTTGAACTATTGAACTATGAAAAGTAGAATTTTTATTTTTCGATGCAGCAGCCATGCTTTTATGATTTTTTTTTTCTTTCTGTTGTTGCCCTTTTTTTCTACTTCTTTTCCTATCTTAATATTAGCTAAAAGTAAATAAAATCTCGACTATTAACTAAAAGAGAGAATAAGGATTGTCAATTCTTAATGATATTCAGTTAACATCAGTATTTTCTTGGCATAATTGTACTTATTAATTTTGTATATAAATAAATAATGACGAACGCAGGGAACATGTGCTCCATCTCTTCAAAAGTTCGCTATACAAATTTTAAATCAAATTTGCAGTGTTTTGGGATATGAAAGGGAATTGAAACATATCCACGCTAAAAAAAAGAAATCAATTAAAGTATTGCAGACTTAATAACTTAGATTACATCCACTATAATTTGAGATTGAAATTTTTTTTTAATTCTTCAAAATTTATTTTATATTAAGTAACATTATTAATACTTATATAGTGTACATTCACTTTGATTTTGTAAGAATTATTGGAAATGATAAAATTATAATCCAATTAATTTTAAAACATTTTTTAACATGAAAAATTAAATAGCAAAAGACAACATATCGTCTTTAACAACCAAAAAAATAAAAATCTTTTATCATGATTTATTTATCAATCATGACTATTCAAGATACTTTAAATCAAGATAATGAAAGATTAAATTATTAGTTTGTTTGAAAATAAATTATTATTCAACATATAATATTTATTGGTTAATTATATTTTAATTGTAGATTTAATAAATATAAATAAAATTAAAAATGCCTGTGATAATAAAGATATATAGTAGCATGATGATATTTTGATAAACATTAAAAAAGATGAGGTCAATTTCATTGATATTTGCTTTGAATTTTGCTCTTATAAATACCAAAATAAAGATATTGTTGTGTTAGAAAAAGTGCGATTATTTCAATGCAATCTTTTACTTTATCATTCTTTTTTTTATTCTACTAGTATTAAGTATTAATATTTTTAAAAAAATTTGCTTTCTTTGTGCATATGAGTATGTTAATTTTTATATTCTAATGTAACTTGGAGTTTGGATTTTGTTATCTTTTATATTAAATTATTTATTTCTAAAACATTTTGTTATTTTAATATCTTTATCTTTAATATTATCTTTATTTTAAAATAAAGATAATATTAAATATATGTTTATTTGATATTATCTTTATTTGAAAAATAAATGTATCTTTTAATATGCTAATTAATTATTCTAGCAATGTATGTTAATATGATATTTTTTTTTTATATTTTAGCTAAATTTTATATTAAAACAAATA